TAAAAGGGGATAAGAAACCTGGCCTCTGTCCTTGCGATAATGACACTTCAGTCAGATGTTCCCAACACTACTCAGCAAACAAGACAACGGCATTCCCCAAGTAACTTGACAATGAGTGCAAATTCTATCTGTAGCAGTATTTAAGGAGGTGCACTTTCAATAAAAATTCTATGTCTTGGACACATTCTCTTTTGAATAACAACACATGAAAATGTAAATAATGATGCTCCATTGTGGGGCTGGCAATCAATGACATGAAACAAAGGTGTATGTATTATTGAAAGGAAAATTTATCTGTAGATCAACTCACAATAAAGAGGTTTTTTAATTTAAGTATCTTTGCCATCCAAATAAAAATGTAAATATATCACTAATACTCTGCATATGAAGATATACCATTTAACTACAATGTGTTGCAAATTTCACCTCTAAGGGCCAAAATCTCTTACCCCCAAACACCTATTTTATACACACTCAAAGAGATTAATTCTCATTAATTCACCTTATCAATATTTTAAAATGTATACTTGGTTATAAATGATAAACACCACCTTCCTAGTCTCCCTCATACACACTGTTTCCGATCTAGATTGGGTTCACATCTAGTATAGCCTTCTAAAGGGGAGCTTATTGATATCCTGAACCAGCTTCCCACACTTACATAATAAACTATAGCAGAAACCACTGCTAAATAAAGTAACTAACACATTGATGTCAATGCCGACTCACAGTGACCCTCCTACAGGGCAGAGTGGTACAGACCCAGTGTCAATCTTTATGAATGCAAGCTGCTACACCCTACCCCCACGGAGTGGCTGGAAGGTCCGAACCCTCCTATTTGAGTTGGCAGCCAAGCCTTTTAATCCCTACATCACCAGGGCCCTTACCCAGAGTACCTACACATGTTCCTCTGGACTGCTCAGCTCGGTTTATACATTTATATTATGCGGAGTCTTCATGTCAACTCTAACTATTTGAAGTGACCTGATGTATGGGGGGGAAGGGGGAATAGAGGTTTGGATAGAATCCATCATATCATTATTAATTCAATGACTCTGATCTTAATTCAATGACTCAATGAATGCTAGTTGCCTCATCTTCTGTGCACAAGGCACCAGGCTAAAGAAAAAGAAAGAAAACACAGGTAAGAAAAGCTCCTGCCCGTTGAAGGAACTTACTAGTGGTTGGAGAGATGTAAAGAATTTAACTCAGGCAAGACATGGCAGAAAACCACAAGAAAGCTATAAACAAAGTCTAGGTTTCTAAAAGGTAAAATTCCATTTTGTCAGCGAGCTCTGAAAATGACTCATGGAAAGAAACTAAATTAGTTGGATTATCAAGGGATTTGATATGGCAAAAGAGGGGAAATGGGAGAAAGCATCTGGGGAAATTTCAAAATCAGCAAGGAGCCTCGTTTGGCCGGCACCAGGCTGGAGTGGAATGAATGGGGGAAGATTGCAGGAAAGTTAGGACCACATTTCTGAGATGCTAAACTTGGCCACATTTTTCCTTCGTAGGAAGTAATGTGATTGGAGCCACATTTTAGTAACTTGGCAATGGACACACAGGACAGATTCAATGAGAAACTAGCAGCACAGCGACCTGTTGGGAGGCAATTACAGTAATCTAGGCAAGCTGTGATGAGGTCTGAACCAGGCACTACCTTTCGGAAGGGGAGTAAGTCAGAGGGAAACACCGGTAGCACACAATTGCCAATCAGAACCAGGGCAACTGGTAGTAAGAGAACTACTGGCCCTTTGATGGTATGTAAATTTCTGACTTTGAACTGACTCAACCAGCCCTGCCCAGCACCAAATGCTTCCTCTGGGGCAGCTTTTAAATGACAGGGAAGACTTAGAGCCTTTCCTTGATCTCCTTTGGGAAGGAAAAACAAGAACTGTTTGCACCTGTGCCGACTCACCTACAAGGGCTGCTGAAAGACCCACTTAGGGATGGATCTCCTTGGTAACCTGCAGATGGCCAGCCAGCGCAGAGATTTTCATTACCAACTGAGTCATAATTATTACCAAAATTCAATCTCGACACACTTTTAAAAGTAAGTCAGGGAACACTGACCCTGCTTGGCTATGGGACAGCACATGAATGTCAAGTACATAAAAGCCAAATTAAAAAAATAATAACATAAATTATCAAGGGTTCGGGAGGGAGGGTGAAAGAGGGAGGGAAAAGCAGAAAGCAAATGCCTGGAGTAGGGTGATGGCAACAAATGTACAAATGTGCTTGGCACCATGGATGGATGGATGGATGATGAAAAGAGTTGTACGAGGCCCCAATAAAATGATTTTTTTTTAAGTTGCACGAGCCCCCAAGAAGGTTATTTTTAAAAAAATACATAAAATGAATAACTAAAAGCCTAATTTACTATGATTGAAGTGCAGCTGAAAGCACCATAAATGAGTCTTTGGTGCCCTCTTGTGGAACGTTTAGTGTCACCTTTGAGCATTTCACCCTCCTCCACCCACAGGGACTCGTCACCGTTGTCAGGTGCTGCCCAGTCCTGCACCATCCTCACAGTTATCGTACTGCTCAGCCCATCCTTGCAGCCTTGTGTCAATCCATCTTGTCGAGGCTCTTCCTCTCCCTCACTACCCCTCCACGCTACCAAGCACGATGCATGATGTCCCCCTGCAGGAACTAGCCTCTCCCAAGAGCACGTCTATCCAAAGCACGTGAGACAAAGTCTTGCCATCCTCGCCTCTAAGGCACACCCCATAGGACCCTAAATCAATCCAAAAAGGCAGAGCAGAACTGCCCCCATCTGGGTTTCCAAGACTGAATTTTTAAAGGAGTTTTGAAAGCCTCCTCTTTCTCCCTCAAAGAGGTTGGTGGTTTTGAACTCCTGACCTTGCAGTTAGCAGCCTAATTCCTAGCCCACAAGTGCCATCAGGGTCTGTAAGAGTCCGAATGGACTTGTAGTCCGAATGGTAGTGAGTTTGGTTTGAGCTTTTACACAATGATGAACATTTTCAACTGTGAAACCATTTTGAGTATTTACCATATATGCTTATCATGCTTTTAAGAGGAAGAACTTAAACCCCTAATACAAACTGAAGAATATCAGAACGCTTTTTTTGTATCATATTTATCGTGGCTAATTTGTTTTGTGCCATTCATTAAGCATAGATCATAGAGAAACTTAGATTTTACTAAGCCTTTGCACAGCATAAACTAAGAGATCCATATCTGTGTCCATAGAAATGCTAGTATACAGGGAGAGTGGGTAGGAAAGAGGGAACCGATTATATGTGACCTCCTCCCTGGGGACGGGCAACCGAAAAGTGGGTGAAGGGAGACGTCGGACAGGGCAAGATATGACAAAATACCAATTTATAAACTATCGAGGGCTCATGAGGGAGGGGGGAGCGGGGAGGGAGGGGGAAAATGAGGACCTAATGCCGGGGGGTTTAAGTGGAGAGGAAATGTTTTGAGAATGATGAAGGCAATGAATGTACAAATGCGCTTTACACAATTGATGTATGTATGGATTGTGATAAGAGTTGTATGAGCCCTAATAAAATGATTTTTTTTAATTAAAAAAAAAGAAGAAATGCTAGTATAAAATGATCAGAGAGCTGGTAAGCTTATTTCTTTTCATGTGATTTGCCACGAGTTTCTTACCAATATTTATCCAAAGGAGGAGTTCTGAACTAGGGAGCATCTACCCTCACTGGAGACAAGTAGAAGTCAACAGAGAGAAACCAAGAGACTGCCCATTGTTGTCAGGGGGGTTGGGGGGTGAGACCAGGAAGACCAAGGGGAACTTATCCTAAATGACCAAAGGTAAAGCATTTGTTGGCTTCCCCAAATAAACTTCCTGATTCCTATACCACACTATTGACAATTTCAAGCAGAGTGGGGAAATACTTGTGAGCATTTAAAATAATATGGAATAGACAATATTGCACCTCGTTTTCTAAAAATGGTCACAGAATTGGAGCGGCAGAATTCAAGAACAGAAAAAAGCAAAGCAATCATGTCCCAGAGATGAAGATAGGTTTCATCTAAGCCATGGAACTAGGCCAATGACAAGCACGGGAGACCCTTGAACGGTACCCCACCCACTTATTCCCGGTTTCTTTTCTCCACCCTGGTAAGAGCCCAAGTGCTGACAGAATCCCCTTAAAACACTGTGGGATGCAAATCATCTCCATGGGAGCGGTTCGTCTGTACACTGGAGAGAAGTGCTCACAGCACACATCACACATGGATACTCACACATGCCTTTGTTGCTCAAGGGTCAATGTTGTTCTTAGGTGTGGTTGAGTTGGTGCCAACTCACAGCCACCCTACACATACAACAGAAAAGGACACTGCCTGGGTCCGGCGCCACCCTCATGATAATGCCTGTGCTTAAGCCCACCCGTACAGCCACTGTGTCACTCTATCTGCCCTTTAAAGAGTCAAGACTGGGAGTGAGTTTCTTAAAAACAAACACTTTGAAGGGAAAAAGTTAAGACTTACACGAACCACGTTAATAAGTTTATCCTGATGTGGAAGTTGTCTCCATAAATTAAAATCACTCAGAACATTGTGTAGGATCACATAAATCAGAAAAGTGTGATGTAAAGCTTAGGATTATGAAGTTTTATTAAATACAGTTAGTATTTTACTCCTATTTATATTTAACCTCCAAAGATCCTTGGTGGAACCAGGATTGAATATCAATTGAATATTTGATTGTTTGATATTGAATATTTCAATGTTTGATAGCTAATGAATTGAATATTTGATTGTTTGATATTGAATATTTCAATGTTTGATAGTTAATGGGACAAATTATAATTGCAGGCAGATTCTTTCAAAGTAAATCCATATTGTCACATTGTTTTATTGAAATAATGTACCAGGTGAGCTACAGTTTAAATCTGTGTGGATAGTGTGTACACAGAAATATGTACATGTCACTTACTTAGAGACAAACAAAAAATGATTAAGCAATCTTCAAATTTCCCCCTGGTTTTATTAGCAATATAACTTACCGTTTTCTTGCTGCGCTTCCATAAATGAAACAGGTAACTTCCAATCATTTTTGGCAAGAGGCACCCCATATATAGCTTCAGTAAATTTTCTTATTAAAAAAAAACAAAAACTATCTTTTCTTTTGCGGTGTCATCGAGCTAGTTCTGACAAGTCACACCTCACAATCCTTTTTGCTTCATCCTATTGTTACAGCCCAGGCTACCACTAAGCAGATGAAACTTCTAAACTTTGTGGTTTATGTGAAACATACTACGTATAGATAGGCGTTGATGACCTTCAACTTCTAGTACGAATAACCACGTTTCCCATCCTTTACTTTTATACCTTCTTAATCATCAACATTAAATACATTTTGCTTTACAGCAACCTACCCAAATATGCACTTGTGAAATTAAGAGATAGGTTGAAATTATAGTGGAAATTCAATAGAATGTCTAAAAACTGCATTTTATTTATATTTCATTTGCATTGGGTCATCTTATACTGGCAGTCGCAAGTTCAAATGTATAAATATTATTTGGAAAACTACTTAACAAAGAAGACTGAGAAACACTTCACCATAGTGGTGGAATGCAAAGATTTAAGATATTGTAAGAAACAATAAAATACACAGGTATGACATCATGGAAAAGTCTTTATTTAAAAACATCAAGTTACTAAAATGGGTAAAAATGACAGTCAAATAAAACCATCCTCAAGCTCATCACTTTAGGGCAAAGATACACACACTGGCATAAAATATCATTATATATACATAATATATACACACATGCACAAAATAGGAAACACATCATCATCACCGGTCATTAATTGGAAGATTTGCATGCTTTCAAAATAGTCATAATTTTAAGGCAGACCAATCAAACATTGCTGAAGGGGAGGGGCGGCTCTGCGTTTAAAGTATCTCTAGAGGCGTTTTAAGTTCCGCTTGCTCTGGGCACTTCCCGGAAGAGTGTCCTTTCTGCTCCGTGGCTTGACGGCCCCTCCCCGACACTCTTCGGACCCGTGGTAAGCACACAGACACAACACGCAAAAGTCGAAACCACAGGCGGGGCGGCTGCACACTCCCCTTTTCTTATATGGCTGGACCTTCGCGGGGGACAGGCACCTGGGGCACGGTTTCAAGGCCTCATCAATAAATAGCGTCTGGGCGACCTGCAGGAAAAGCATATGTCCTCAGTCTTTGTGGCTCGGGAGAGGGCAGCTTGCCGGTTCAAACTCTGCACAGCCTTACGTTTTGATAGCGCAAGCGCAGTTACTCACCTTCAAGTATTCTTCCTGCTTGCTGCTTTGGGGAGCAAGAGAAGCGCTTGCTACTGGTGTCAAAACCTGCCCCCAGGGAGACAAGGCTGGGGCTTGTTCTAGCTGAGCGCCTGGTGTCCTGGCCTGTGCCTGCACAGATCTCAGGGCTGAGCGGTTTAAAAGGTGGCGCCGAGTGGCAGCATCCTCAACACTGAGTATAGCCCCCTGTGGGAAAAGAACAAGGGAGTCCATGCAAAAGCAGTTGCGGGGTAGCTTTCTGATGCATGTGGATTTAGATGTCTAGATGTGGTCTTAAACCCCCTACAATTTTCTCCCTAACCATTTACCTCTTAGGAAAAAAAATTTCTCAACTAACATTTCAAAGTTAAAGAAGTGTTAAAAAAAATGCATACCATATATACTCTTGGATAAGCCGAGTTTTTTAGCACATTTCTAACGCAGTTTTGTGGTTAAATTAGGTGCCTCAGCTGATATTGGGGTCGACTTATACTCGAGTATATAGGTAAATAAAAATAAACGCTAGCTCTGAGTTTGTGTGGTTGGTCTTGGTCATTTTCCCATTTAATTTCGGCTCTGGATTGAGCTGTTATGCGAAAAGGGCCAGATAGTAAATACTTCAGGCTTTGTGGGCCACATGGGCACCGGGTTCGATGCTGCCCTCACAGGTCAATGAAAGACCGGGTCTGCTGTTACAATCCAACTTTGTTTTAGAAGACAAGCAAGGGACTAGATGTGACCCACAAACTTGTTCGTTAACTCCTGTTTTAAGTGAAGGTTTTAAATGATGCAAATCCTTTTCAAGTTTGCTATGGGATATCATGGAATTCTTTGAAGGCTTCTTACGCATCAGAAAAACAATGGGCCTGGTTTGACCATAAATCCCTGTTTCTCTGGCTGGTTTATGCAAATACCTGGTACTGATTCATTTTTACAGTTGACTTTTAAACAGTTTTGATATCTTAAAAGGAGAAAACCAATCTCTCTCATTAGGACTAGGATCTCTCATTCTCCAAATATTGGGTCAAGAAATACTTTCAATGAGCCATTTTTAGAAGCCTTCTACTTTGTTAAGGATTGAAATGAATGGTAATTTTTTCCCAACAAACTGGCATTCTTAGTTACCAAAGTAGAATGTACTACAGATGAAATTTCCTCATGTGCCTAATTGATTGTGTTTCCTTCCCCCTTAATAGTTTCCCTTGACCACATTTGACTCCTAACTGTGAGAGGGCTCAGACATGAGGAATTGCAGTTGGAAGAGGTTAGCTGTCCCCCCAAAAGCATGTGATAAATAGTTAAAAACAAAAAACCTACGTATGTGTAATGGATAAATAATGGTTTTCAAAATTTAGAACTAGTACAGTTGAACCCAGTGAGCTCATGCAAGGCTCGGTGTATTCTCTAAAATGGCATGCTTATGAAAAACTGTCCAGCCCAGGTCTCAGCACGTGACCCAACGGCACACTGAAGGCAAATTGGACACTGGCTGTCCACTCCTGATCGTGCTGCAGCAATGGGAGAAGCAAAGAAAACAGAGAGAAGGTGCCAATGTTAGCCACAGAAGACGCATCTGATCCTCTAGTGGCTATTTCCAGAACATCTGCTTTGGGCCAGGTAAATAGACCAGTCTAATTCCTGTCCTTGTCTGGCTTAAAAACATGCACACCGATTTCTGATCAGGAGGGGCTAAGCAGTCAACAAGAGCTCATGCTCACATGGGTGCCAACTGTTTTTCCAAACAGTTATCATCACAGGACCAGAAAATAATGAAATATGAAAGTGCAGCTACTTCCATGAATGTGTGTATGTATATGTGTGTGTATATATATATATTCACACACATATGTATATATATGGCTTTCTAAGTGAAACATAGCAAACTAAGAAATCCTATGGTGAGGGTGTGGTCTTCCAACACTAATGAACCCGTTCTCATTGCCCCAGTGCAGACAGAGACAAACGAAATCCTATTGCACGTACCTGATCCGTGCCTTCTAGTTTCCATGCATAGGCACTTTCAGTGACACTATGCATGGATGAGGGGAACCAGCGAACAACTGTGGCTTTGTCATGTTTCTGCTTTGATTAGTGAGACCTGAGAATAGCTCAGTATAAACCCATCAGTCCGTTTCAGAACAGGAGGGCAGAGGGCACCAGGAGGGCTGTCTTTGAGGAAAAGAAGAAACTGGCAGAATACTCGAGTCGGGTGAACTTACACAGAGGAGATTTTCAGTTCTGGTGGAAAATAAGGGTTGAGTCGGGGATCTGTATAAAGAAACACTAAACAAAGAGAAAGAAAGAAAACTGGGCGATTACCAACTTGGAGGGGTGGGGGGAGACAAAACAAAATAAAACAAACCCAGTTATATGAGGAAGTGTCATCCTAATGCAGATGTTACAGCTGTGAAAAACCATCACCTTGACCTCAACACCATCTAAACGCCAGCACCAAATTCTGGTTCAGCGCGGCATGGTGCACAAGTGCATTCCTAAGACACGAGCAAGGGGATTCAGAGTGGTGGTAGGTAGATGGTGCAGTGCTGGGCTAGAGAACTAACCGACTCCTCCTACAGAAAACACAATCCCCAAAGCCGCAGTGGGAACGTGCTCTATAAATCTGGCAGACTGTGCCCACCGAAACAACTGGAGTCAAGTAACTGCCTTCTAAGGAAGCAAGGCTCGAGAGCAGGAAGGGATGGGGTGCGAGAGGAGAGTGATGGGTTTCACCCATGATCAATTAAACTTTTGAAGCCATGTAGGGGGGTGGCTTTGAAAAGTTTGTGGAATCATGGAATGAAAAGATAATGGAACTTCCCCATAAACTTTTTAAAACCCCTTCATACTTCTACTAAAAGAAAAAAAATGTTTTTTAATTTTTAAGTTCAAGAAACAAAGTACGGTCCTTTAAGAAATTAATAAAAAGAAAAAGCGGTGGCCAGTAGGTCAGGATACACCATTCCATCTAGACTAATCAGAAGTTGCCAACACAACCAATGACGTGTTCCTTCCTTCTAAGGGGCAAGTATAGGGGGCTGAGAGTTTAAAACAAACAGGTGCAAAAAGTCCCTGGCCTGTGTAACTTCAAATCATCTCTGAGGGAGCACAAGTTGATGATGCTTCATAAGTACCGTCTGCCATGCGTGCGCTCACCTCCTGCATCCTATGCTCGGATGCTACGCCCCCTTCTGAAACACACTACTCGCCCTCTTCAGCTGGCTCTCCCCTAACACATCCATCAGGTCTCAGCTTAGATTGAGTTTTTTCTCAGCAGCCATCTCGCAATTCCAAGTCTCCGTGGAACGCTCCTTTCAAATGTTCCTATAGAACCCTAGGCACCCCAGCATCTTCTCACCCACAATTCCATGAGCTCCAAGACACCTGGCAAAAATGTTTGCCACTGTAATCTCAGCAACTAGCACAGTGACTGGCACCTGAGAACCTCGCTCAAAAGACTAGAACAGAGTGTTGTAAAGATATCTAATTATGAAAAGGAGCCACCTTGTTCATAATTCAAATGCTAACAGCACATGCACTTACCAGCAGATATGCCTCCTCACACACACCCCCACCCCCAAAAAACCCTGCCAGGTCATCTATCCCACGGATGGACTGGGTGGAAACAGAATTTTGGGAAAGTAAAGCGTTTATGAGTAATTGGGAAACGTTTAAAAGATAACAGGAAAAGTAAATTGTTTGACAATATTGGATTAAGTTTTTATATAAAACCAATTTAGGAAAAAGGATTATACACAGTACCTCAGAATCTGTTTTCAATTGTGTGATATGAATTTTTCTCCTCCGATTTGCTTTTTTATCTTGGATAACAATTTCACGCCAATTTCTGCTTACTCTCCAAACGCTAGAACAAAGAAAGACCAGTCCTTATAGACGTCCTACAAGATTAGCATGTTTTGTGTTTGGTTATTAATCAGAGAAGCTTGTTTTAAAGATTTCGGAGAGGACACTTAAACCTAAATGTAAAGTATGACTTGGCCAATATTTTTTTGTCTTTTGATTCATCATATAAAATAACCCTATTAAAATAGTAAAAATATGCAAGCATTATGTTGATAGGTCCCTACCTTATAAATGGCTAAGGAAAACAGTTTGCTAAGAGAGAGTAAGTTGAGGAGGCATACACTCAGGGGTGTTCAATACTCTCTCCTTGGGCGTGCACAACATACTAGAGCTTCCATCGCTCCCTTTCCGTGTATCTCCGTGCGTGCATTATAATGTCGATCTCTGTACCCCCAGGATTGGACTGGACTGAAAGAATGTCACCCCAGACAGTGACTGACCTACACCTCATGCATTTCTCTCCCAGGAATGTGGGGTCTCCAGAGGAGAGCTGGTAATTGGGGAAGGGGCTCCCTCCACCTGCTTGTTCCAATATCCTCAGCTTGGGGCTTCCACCTCATCAACCAACAGCGTGGCTCGAGGTTCAATGATCCTGCTCACGTTCTAGAGAGGAGGGGAGAGCTGCCTGCTCTGCTACTGAGGGCACACTCCACTTCAAGGGCTAGCATTTAGTCGGATGACCACCCCTAGCTTCAAGGGAGTCTGGGAAATGTAGTCTGTTTGGGAATGGGGGGGAAAAGGTGTCCTATAAAACCAGTAGGTGGACAAGGGAGACTGACTGTTTAAGAAAAATTAACTTCAAATGAGGCACTAAGTTTTACAATTTGGAACATAATATGCTGGCAAATGATGATCTCTTGTAGCACAAAAAGGTGGATTGATTTCTCCTGTTGTATTCTTTACATCTCTATCATTTTGATGATGTAGTTCAAAGTATTGTGTCACATGTTAAATATTATGGGTAGCACCACAAATCTTCTATTTTATAAGCCCAGATTTATAAGACTGAAGCAGCTAAAGAAAAAAACATAATATAGCCAGTGATTACTTATTTACAAACAACACTGATCAATTCTAAAAGAAAAAGTGATACTTCAACTACCCCATCTGTTAATCTTGTCTTTTTGTTACTCTCACATAACAAACCAGGAGGAAGTTGGGGAAAGGCTACTTTTTGTGGGGACCCCAGCAAGTGGCTGACTTGAGACTACAATTCTTCCAGCTACCATATTCATTTCAGTTGTCATTGCCTGTAATATCTTCAATCAATAGATGTGCCTAATAATTAAACAGAAGGAGAACAGGCGAGACGGTCAGCTACAGAGGAGGAAGAGATGAACGCTACAACTGGGTATTTCCCACAGCTAATTTCAAGTAGCAGTAACGCGGTGGGCTGCAAACCTCAAGGTCAGCATTTGACACCACTAGCTGCTCCTTGGGAAAAGATCCAGCTTTCTCTGCCCGTAAAGTTACAGCACAGTCTCAGAAAACCTCCAGGCGCAGTTCTACTCTGTCCCACAGGGTCCCTATGAATTGCAATAGACTCAATGACAGTGAATTTGTCTTGGAATTTCAACTATCATATTTAACTTTACCAAAAATATGTACTGCTGACATACATACATGCACAGTACAATTACAAGTTTGAGGGGTGAGCAGGGAAAACAATCATTGGAATATGAATGAATATCAACTGCTCATACAAGTGAGTGCACAAAAGTGTCACCGGAGCTTTTTCTTTTAACTGATCTCTAAGGACCCCTGGTGGTGCCATGGGTTGAGCACTGGGCTCCTACCCACAAGGTTGGCGGGTCAAACCCACCAGCCACTTCATGGGAGAAAGATGAGACTGTCTACTCCTGTGAAGATGCGCAGCCTCAGAAACCCCATAGAGCAGTCCAACATGGTCCGATAGGATCGCTATGAGTTGCTGGTAGAACCTTGGGTCTGTCGCTAAGGACTCCAGCATACAAAGGTAACATTTCGCTACCTCCTCCACTGCCTGACATTTGAGGAAGCACAGAGAGACACATGCACTGATCTGTTGATTATCTTGCTTGGGGTACACCACACATACTCCCCAGCAAGTCTCCTCTGAAAGACCTTACACCTTGTAAGCGTTCACGGGGAAATGCTAGGTTATAAATAGCAACAACCAAACCAAACTCCTGCCCCCAAGTCGACTCCTACAAAGAAGAGGGCTTAACTGTAGAGCTTCACCTATGCCTGTCTCGGGGGACTCTGGGCAGGTTGCTTCTCTGGGCCTGTTTCCCCATCTGCAAACTATGGGATGGGATTAGATCACCTCAGAAGACGTAGAGCTGTGAAATTCTACAATTTTCTCCATAGTGCACAATGATTGTATGGAGGGGAAGGGAAGTTTTAGCAACAGCAGCTGTGGCCATACACACAGCAAGGACTGTGAACCATGGAACCCTGGTGGCATAGTGGTTGGGAGTTGGGCTCCTAATGGTAAGGTCTAATAGTTTGAAACCACCAGCCATTCTGAGGGAGAGAGACAGGGCTTTCTGTGCCTGTAGAGTTCCAGTCTCAGAAACTCTCAGGGGTAGTTCTACCTGTCCCATGGGGTCGTTATGAGTCGGCATCGGCTGGATGGCAGTGAGTTTGGTTTGGGTTTTTATGAACCAAGCACTTGCCATTTATCTATCAAGAAAGAGGGTCCCTAACTTGGGCACAGGCTGGGCAGTACTTTGTTCTGTTGTGCACACGGCTGCTACGGGTCAGAGCCAACTCAATGGCACCCAACAATAACAACTTTGCTGCACGCTTGTCCCCAATCATCACTTTGCAGGTAGTGTCACCCCTTTCTGGTCACAGCACTCCCAAGGGTCTTGTCTTCTGATAGTCCTGCAACCATGTGAACATAGTCTAGCTTTAGTCCTTGCAACCCTGGTTCCCACCACGAATACTCCTCATTGTCAGAGGTCAAACGCTGCCACCAACTCAGAGAGACCCTACAGGTCAGAGAGGAGAAAACTCACCCTGTGGGTTTATCAGGCTATACCTCTATGAGAGTAGAAAGTCTCATCCTGCAACCTCGGGGTGACTAGTGGGTTCAAACTGCTGACCTTGCATTAGTAGCCCAACTCCTAGTCCACTACACCACCAGGGCTTCTTGGTTTCTCTTTTTTTTTTTTAATCATTTTATCGGGGGCTTGTACAACTCTTATCACAATCCATCCATGCATCCATTGTGTCAAGCACATTTGTACCTTTGTTGCCCTCATCATTCTCAAAACATTTTTTTTCTACTTGAGCCTTTGGGGTTTCTCTTTACAAGACAATAGGCTGACATGTTTTTGCACAGCAAATTTTTCAGTTTCCGATTTCGTGAAGTTCCCCAAATTATGAACTCCACTGCTGTGCTAGCAATGAAATAATTCATATCCCTGTCATCTTTCAAAAGGCCAAGCCCTAGACTGGAAACAAATCCTTGTTCTTGGATTTTAGGGCTGGGGCACCCTAACTCGGCAGTCTCCGCGGTCGGCTGTCATCCTCCAGTGCCATAATGCTTTGCAACATTTATGAAGTGTCATGATTTAATATGACAGCATGATTCTGCCATCTGACAACAGCACGTGCGCACTTAGAGAAGTCCTTGAGCAAAGTCTTTGGAATAAGGCTTGCCATCACAGAAACTTAAGGTTCAATTTTTGCGAACTCCCTTTCCGAGTGATGATAATCGTTTGATTGTTGAACTGTTCTGGAAAAGACACCAGTGTTGCGTCTGAAGCTGACTTTTGAAGGCCGTTGCTGTCCGGTGCCGCCCTCGAGTCGGTGCTAAGTCATCGCGTCGCTTTGGACAAGGAAACAAACTACTGCCCGTCCTGCGCCAGCCTCGCCATTGGTACCATCCCCTGGGCCAACCATCTTATGGAGGCACTGTCAGCAAGCTCTGGTTCACCTACACTGCCTTGGAGAAATGCGAGGGCAGCTAAGGATCGGAAGCAACAGCCTTCTACTTCCTGGAAACACTATGCAGCTTTAAAAAAGAGAGAAAAGGGAGTTTTACTTTAGACACACATCTCTGATTTCTTACCTGCAGAGGCTTTCTGCGGTCAAGGCATCTAAAACCACAGCAAGAATATGCTTTAGGTTTCTGTATTTTAGTTCGGTCAAGATGTCCAGCTTTTCTACACCCATTTTCTTGCCGATCAGTCCTGCGAGCACGCACTGCAGCACAGCCAGTTTCCCTGCAGCCCTTTCTTCCAGGACTCCGCGCACCCCGCTTTGCTGGAAACGCTTCCTTTTGCTGCTCAAGATGAGCTCGTGGACCAGCTGCAGAGCCGGGGTGTTGGACAGATCCTTAAAGCTTAAAACCAGGCCCTCGCTCCCAGGGGTGGCGCGGCCCGGAGGGCTCTGGGAGCTGGCAGGAGCGGCCGCCGGCCTGGGCTGGGAAGCAGGGGGTGAGGGCTGCTGCTCTTCCAGCTCCGACGGGGAGCCTTGCTCCCGGAGGGTGGACAGTCTTCTCGACCTCGCCAGACGCCGGGACTTTCTTCTGGTGTCCCCGGCCGCCGTGAGAGGTCCCTGGTGTTTCTGAAGCAGCTCTTGGAAGGAGCCCTCCGGGTCAGAGAGGGAATCTTCGGATTTCTCCAAGCTCAGGGAATTAAAACCGCTGTCTTCGGGGGTGGACGCTTTGCCTCGCACGTGTGTGGCCGGAGGCAGTCTTTTCCTGGCATGGAATTGCATGTGGGCGGCGAGCTGACCGACCGGAGTCACAAATAGGTCTTCGTCTGGCCCACTCGGGGTCGCCCTCCCGGAGGCCCCCAGAAGTTCGGGGTAGGCATTCTCGTCGTGACCGCTTAAGCTGCTGTCGCTGAAGTCCCCGGTGATGGAGTCTTGAAAGCTGCTGCCGGGGATCGGCGATATGCAGTCCACTTCAAAGAGGCCGCAGTCGCCTTTGCAGTCGTCGATGGTGGACGTCTTCTGCTGGGAAAAGCTGCGTCTCAACTTCTCAGAGCTGCGAGTCGTTTCCTCGGCTGAGAGAGAGCTGCTAACTAGAGCGCCAACGCGTTCCTGCCTGGGGAGCCCTGCCGCGCGGCTTGCAATGTTCTTTCCCACGCTGTGGCTAACGCAACTGTCCAGGGTACTGTTCCGTGGCTCCAAGTCCCCTTCCAGGAGAGCGAACGATAAAGTCAACCTTCTGCGCAGCAAACGCTTTTCTCCACCGATTTTTGGGGTTTCACAAAGTTCGGGACTTTTCTCCATGTCCTGTCCCCGGGAGACACGCCGCTTGGTTGGAGCGGGCGACTCCCAAGGGTGTGTCAAGGTCAGCCTCGGAGCTTCAGGCTGCTCGTGGATTAGTGTTGGGCCTTCTTCTTTCTCTCCCCAAACTTCCTTGTCTGCATTGTCAAGTCGGCACGATTTTAATAACTCGCTGTAGCCACTATCTTGAAGTGAAGACGTGGGACCCGAATCTCTGAAGCTGGAGTATTTAAAATCTACCGCGGGCGAGTCCGCCTCCTTCCTGGGGCCGCTCTGGACCGAGTGCCTTTCCATCTTCACCGTCTGTTTCTACAGGTGAAAACAAGTGGCATTAGATTTTCTTTTGGAAGGAGTAGTCACGCAGGTCACACACCAAAATACATTCTCTGTCAAAGGCACACGGATAACAGGACAAACTTTTCTGGCAGAAAAAGTTACTTTTAAAACACAAACCTACTTTATAATATACTGCTTAAAACAACTTAATATCATGGGGAAAAAGCTTCCAGGTTATGAATATTCACAGATTACTCATCTATTATCTAAGAATCATACTCACAAGTTTTCTTTTTCTTTTTTAAAGCTATATATATATATTTTTTTAAATTTTAAATCATTTTATTGGAGGCTCATACAACTCTTATCACAATCCATACATACATCAATTGTGTAAAGCACATTTGTACATTCATTGCCCTCAT